TAAAATGTGCAGAGCCCCCCTGGGTGGAGGGAGTGGAGAGCGGAGGCAGCTCTGGCTTCTGCTGCCACGGGAGCTGGGCCAGGCTGGGGCGTGCGGGAGTGGGCGGCTCGGCTCTTCCCTCTTCAGCCGATCCCTGGAATCACACCCTTCCCCAGTGAAGAGAGGGAACGCGCTGGAGGCTGAAGCTTGAGCCCAGGCGTTAACCAGGAACCGCGGGTCCTCAGCCAGGTCCAGGACTCTCAGGAGGGCGCAGCCTTGGCGGGTAGAGCCACTCTGCACGGTCCGCCGGCCAGGTGTGTGGGGACAGCAGCGCAGCAGGACCCAGGGGCTCGATGGCACGGGAGACCCATAGCTCAGCCTCTAGGTGCCTGGGACTGTGAAGGATGTGGGTCTGGGAGAGTTGTGTGACCTGCTTACACCTCCTTTGCCTGTGCTGAGGGACAGTGGCTGCCGGCCCCAGAAATGAGCAGATTCCACGTGGCAGAGGCTGCTGCGTGCCTCAGAGGGGGCATCGGGGCTGAAGCAGCACTGTGAAGTCACACAGGGCACGTCCCTTCCTCGTGGCGTGGCCACCTTGGCCTGCTGTGGTGGCTGTGAATGGGAGCGAGGGCAGCCGCGGCTGCTGCTTCCTCACCACATGCCCTGAGCCGCTATCCTGGGTGCCCGAGGCTCTGTGAAAGAGGGTCCTCGTCGTCACCCCAAAGACTGTCGCTCGGTCCCCTCCCCTGTCGGAGGAAACACAAGGTGCCCACCTGATGCTCTGGTGCCCAGGTGCCTCAGCCTCTGTCCAGAGGAGGGAGAGCAGCCCTTCAGGGCATCTGGGCAGCTGGTCCTGGTCCTGAGGCAGGCCCACGCCCACCGCCCTGCGTCTCCTCCTCTCTGTCCCCTCTGAGGCGACTGACGAGCCACAGGCCAGGAGGAGCCAGGGAGGGGAGCTTAAGCTGGAGCTCTGGGCCTCGGGGCCCGCCCTGGACCTCAGGGCCCGCCCTGGCTCTGTGGACTTGCAGGAGAGGCGGGGAGGAGGAAGCTCTTGGCTGACACTCCACAGAGACTTATGCAGGCAGGCTCAGAGGACGGAGGCCTGCAGACCAGCCTCAGCTGGACTCAGCCCTGACCGGTGTCCTCCCCACTGGCCTGTTCTGAGAAGCCCTGATGGCCACCGGGACCCCAGGGGGAGCCATCTATGCAGACTAGAGACTCAGGAGATGCCTCCAGTGAGGAGCAGAGGCACAGACGGACGCTTGCATGTCTGTGTTCACAGCGGCACAGTGCCCAGGGCGGGAAGCAATCCAGGTGTCCCTCAGTTACGAACGGACAGGCACAACTGGCACACACCCATGGGAACGCAGCCCAGCCTCAGAAGGCCATTCTGACAGGGGCCACACCGGGGTGAGCAGGAAGGCACCAGGCTGAGCGAAGCTAGCCTGCACCTGTGGACCACACTGCCCACTCGCACAAAGTGTGACAGCGGCCAAGCTCAGGGCTGTGGCCTGCATCTGGGCGCTGGGGAAAGGGAGTTAGTGTCAGTGGGGAGGGTTTCAGTTGTGCAGGACGGAAAACTCGGGAATTGAGTAGAGCTGACCCCTGCACATCAGTGGGAAGGGCCCCAGAGCTGAGAACTGGCTCAATCCTGGAGCCAGTGGTGGTGACGAAGCTCACGTCCTGCACAGCTCACCACCATCAGAGTCACTAGTGTAAGTGCTGCTCAGGAGCGGGCACAAGGCTCTGGAGACCATCTGGCCCCAGAGGACATGAGAAAGCACTCAGTAGCAGGACGGTGCCAGTCCCACCCTGTGAGTGACTTGGCTGCCATCCAAGCTCAGAGCCAAGTGCTGGCAGGCGGGGGTCACCGTCACTTCTCACACTGCCGAGGGGCCTGTAAAGCCTGTTGGGTGGTTTGAACTGCATTGGGGGTAGCTTTTAATAAGGCTAGATGTAGGTCTATCCTTTGACCCAGCAATTCTCCTCCAAAGAATGTGCCCGAGAAAAATGAAAATGTGTCCACTAAACTAGTGCGCCCCAAATGACCACAACTTCATTAACAACTGCCCAACCCCCAGACAGCCGAAGTGTCCACCCACAGGTGAGTGAGCAGACACGTCACACCCACGAGAAGCTGCACATCACGTATGTGGACGAGATTTGGCCATGGACAGGGGAGCTGCCCGTGCACACGGCGAGGGTGGGTCTTGCAGACGTGGTGGTGATGCTGATCCCAAGGATGTACAGCTGGACCCTGTTCATGTGAGAGTCCACGGAGCAAAACCCAGTGGTGGACACGCACAGAAGTCAGAGCATTCACAGTGTGTGGCAGGGAACAGGGAGGAAAAGCCCCGGGGAGAAGTTTCCAGAATTGAACAAATGTCCTGTGCATCGATGGGCCAGGTCCCAAACCTGAACTGAAGGTCTAGGATGCGTGCCTTTTGACACGTGGACTTTACAGGAAAAGAGCTGGGAACAGACCCCAAGTCCAGTTGGCTCTCCTTTCCCACTGGGCTCGCTTTTCGTGTCCTATTTTTTAGGTCTGCTCTCCTTATTTTTTAGGCTTGCATTTCTTATGTTTCCTTAAACGCTGCCTGTATTTTATACACACACTTCTTATGAGTTCCTTTTGGTCACACGTGACAGTGGGATTCACTCTGATGAGACGTGATCTGCTCTGATTTGGTCTCCAGAACCCCCTCCCTCCTTCCTCCCTCCATCCCCCCTTCCTCTCCTTTTCTCTCCTTTTTTATTTCTAAGGTTCGTGTTCTTTTCTTATTTTTTGGTTTGCTCTCCAAAGTGATATGGGTTGGAAATTCTGAGTTTAAATCCTGACCAATGACTCAGTCATGGGTAAGCGGGGGCCAGATTCCCCTGAGGAAGTGAGAGGGGACTGCGCCCCCCCCCCCCGTGCAGCGAGGGGCCTGGCAGCGAGGGTGCAGGTAGACCTGTTTTGAGATGATCAGACAGAGGGGCACGTGTGTGCCAGGGTGTTGGTGTGTACCCGTGTTTGCACATGTTCACGTGAACGCTGAGTGCACACACGTGTAGCCACGTGAACGCATCTGTCTGTAGACACACATGCACACACACACCATCTCTGCCCCCCGACAGACCCAGAGCGGCGACGGCCCTGGCACAACGAGCACAGGAAGCCAGACCTGGCTTCTGTACCCGGCCCTCAGGGAAAGGAAGTTCTGGCACACCCTGCAACATGCCCAAGGCCGACGGGCAGCACAGAAAGGATCAGAGTGAACCGTCACAGACAGCCATGGGCCACACATTCGATAGTCAAGAGGGAACTGACTGAATTCCTGGGAACATACAACCTACCAAGATCAAATCAGGAAGAAATGGAAGAACCAAACCCACCGAGAGGCGGAGTGGTGATAAGGCATCCTAATGAGCAGAGGCTCTATCAGGTGGCTTCCTGACCCAGGCCCGCCGCACCGTGGTCAGGTCCTTAAACACCTCCCAAAGTGGAGGGACCTTCCAAACCGTGCAGGCCAGCATCCCACGATGCCTTGACCCCAAGATGAGCCACGGAACCTGCAGGCCAGCACCCTGCTGAGCACTGACACCACCCTCCAGAAGCACCACAAGCCAACTTCACCCGCCTGCTAAGAAGAGCCTCACCATGGGCTGTCCAGGACACGGCCTGTCCCTGGGGTGCCGCTTGGCTTAAGCACCGGCAAGTCAGTCAGCATGACACTCAATAGATGTGGTCAGTAGATGCAGAAAACGCATCCTTTCTGGAAAAGGCTCAAAAAAAAAAAAAAAAAGGGTGTGGAAGGAAGTCTTGTCAACCTCCAGGAGCTAGCACGGTGGTTAGGGGGCCACAAGCCTCTCCTGTGGACCTGTCACCATGGGAGGTCTCCACTCCAGCTGCACTCCTGGAAGTGCTAGAAAGAGCCACCCAACCAGGAAAGGGCGCCACCAGAAAGGAAGAAGGAAAACAGCCCTGCTTGCAGAGGATGCTACTCGTCACGTCTAAAGACTGTTAGAACCAATAAGTGAATTCAGTAAAGGAGCAAAATACAAACCCCATGTAAAAACCACTTCTCCCTCTTTACAGAGTGATGACCTGCCTCCAAGAGAAACCAGGAAGACAACCTCAGTTGCATCAAAAAGGATAAAACAATAGGGACCAGATCAACCGAGAAGGGGAGAGATCTCTAAGCTGAGAAGGACCACACGACGAGGGAAGAAGTCCAAGCAGGCCCAGGGGACATGGAAAGGCACCTGGGTTCAGGAGCCAGACGCAATGAGACTGTGGAATGTCTGCACTTCTCCAAGTGACCCGCAGATTTAACGCAATTCCTGTCAAGATCCCAGCGATATATTTCACAGGATCAGAAAAAAATCCTAAAAATTCTTTTGGGCCAGCAAGAGCCAAAGCCACGTGGAGAAGGGAGACCAGACGCCAGGGCCATGCTCTCTGGCTTCAGGCTGCAGCACACGGCTCTGGCCAGCAGAACGGCAGGACGTCTGTCTTTCAGGAGACACAACAGGGCAGACCCTGCCTGTCTGATGGTGTGGGTGGCCTAGGGACGTCCTGCTGAGAGAAGGAGCCCAGTCGGAGGGGACAGTACCAGGTGGCCTCACTCACATGGGAGTCCAGGGCACTGCTCCACAGGGGCAGAGTGTCCAAGGGGCCTGCAGGGACCAGAGAGACTCCAGGGTGAAGGCTCTGGACCTAGCTCACAGCACTCTGAAACGCATGAGAGTGGGAGTGAGGCTTGGCTCCAGGAGGCAGGGCGCGCCGGCGCCGGCTAGCTGAGGTGACCGCGTGCACTCTGCCGTCCATCAGAGCACCCACAAACACCTGGAAAACACACAGTGCTTGTCAACCACACCTCGGTGACGGTGAAGAAGTCAACAGAATGAAAAGCAAAAGGTCTTCAACCCCTTTACTTGGTTTTTTACTGCACGTATACCTTGGTTCTATTTCCACATCACAAAATCCACTTATTTTCAGGTCACCGTGGTCATCTCACAACTAATGTAATATATTTAAATCCCTAGGACTGGACACTGGGCTTTTCCTGACGTTTTCATGCACACGAGGAGCACGCCACCCTGCGTGTGACCCCTGTTCTGGGGACACACGGACCCGCTGGGTGGACACGACAGTGTTCACTCCGCTTCTAGCCGTGAGCTGAGACCCTCCCCCTGGGCGGACACGTCCTCTGGCCACCCCTTCCCCGCAGCCTCGGCTCGCGAGCCCTCCGTGGCTCAGGCTGATGTCGTGCATGTGGACTCAGCGCCTGGGGGACCCCTCCTCCAGCCTGGCCTCTGGTTTTCCAGGTCACCGCTGGTGCTGGGCCCAGGAGGACTGGAGGCGAGGGAGAGCCCCGGGCCGCGGGCGGCGGGGTCACGGCCCTCGAAGGGTCCTGCGCAGCGCCGCGTGGACCTCCCTGTTGCGCAGGCAGTAGATGACCGGGTTGCACAGGGGCGTGGCCACCGTGTAGATGACCGACAGCACCTTGTTGAGGTCCATGGACTTGATGCGGCTGGGGCGGCAGTAGATGAAGAGGGCGGCCGAGTAGAAGATGCCCACCACCACCAGGTGCGAGGCGCAGGTGGAGAGGGCCTTGCGGCGGGCGGCGGCCGAGGGCATGCGCAGCACCGCCCTCCCGATGGCCACGTAGGAGGCCAGCGCCACCAGAAGAGTCCCGCAGAAGATGACGATGGCGGAGATGAAGTCCACCAGCTCCGTGAGGGCCACGTGGGTGCAGGAGAGGTTGAGCAGGGGGGAGACGTCGCAGAAGAAGTGGTTGAGCACGTTGGGGCCGCAGTAGGACAGGCTGGCGATGCACGAGGTCTTGGCCACCGAGACCAGCAGCCCCCCCAGCCATGAAGTCAGAGCCAAACCCACACAGACCCGGGGCCGCATGAGCAGCGGGTAGTGCAGAGGGCGGCAGATGGCCACGTAGCGGTCATAGGCCATGGAGGCCAGCAGCGTGCACTCCGTGCAGATGAGGACTATGAAGAAGAAGAGCTGGGTCATGCAGGCCACGAAGGAAATGTGATAGGGTCCCACCCACAGCCCCAGGAGCAGGGTGGGCATGGTGACGGACACGTAGCACATCTCCAGGCAGCTGAGGTTGCCCAGGAAGAAGTACATGGGCTTGCGGAGCTGGCTGTGGCTGCAGATGAGGGAGACGATGAGGGTGTTCTCCAGGAGGGTCAGCAGGTAGAGAGCCAGGAAGACGGCAAACAGGACGCCCCTGACGCCCAGCCTGGTGGACAAGCCCAGCAGGATGAACTGCTGGACCCTGGTCCCGTTGGCCAGCTCCAGGGACGGCTCCATCTGTGTGGAGACAAAGGAGACTGCTGATATCCGGCTGCAGAGGCATAATAGTGAGAACGTCATTGCAAGGTGTCCACAGTGGCTAGAGGCCCTGGTGACCTGACCACTGGTCTTGTGTTAGAAATTGTTGAGAGAGAGAAGCTGTAAGCTCATGAGACAAAATCTGAACTCGGTTACCCAAGTTAATTGTCTTAGTAAATATGACTTTGGAAAGAATCTGACCATCAGAAACTGGGGAGAATTACATTTGCTTTCCATGAAATTAAGTGAAGGAATAGATTAAAATTCACTGTAAGAAATTAGAATTATTCTCTTTTTCAAAATTTAAAAAAAAATTTAAAATTATAGATGGATACAATACCTTTATTTAATTTATTTATTTTTATGTGGTGCCGAGGATCAAACCCAGGGCCTCATACGTGCCAAACCACTGAGCCACAACCCCAGCCTAGAATCATTTTCATTTCAGCTTTTTGAACAACAACAACAACAACAAACAACCCCCAACACCTAAAACCTGTTCTTCCACCTTACGAGTTGTGTTCGTCTTCCACCCACCAGGTTGCTGTGTTCCTAAAATGCAGAGTTGGTCATGGTGCCAGATGGCTCATTCTACAACACTCCTTATCTCTTAGCAGGGTGGTATTTCCTGGATCTGAATCGTGCTCTGGATCACGGATGGTTGTCAAGACAGCAGAAGGGCCGTGGTCCTGCTGAGGGACAGACCCTCCGGGGGAGAGTCCACTGTCACACGCACTTCCCTGCCATCTGCACCCCCGTCCACCGGGGAAGCTGAGCCCCAGAGGAACTGCCCCTATGCCCGGGGCCGGACTCTGACGATGAAGTCCTCCAGGATTCTTGGAGTCAGGACCTGTCATTGCTACTCATTTTCATTCTTGGTTCTGTGTGTGGAACAAGCGGAGGTCAGCTTCCCGGCTCTGTGGCCCTGGGCAGCGGGCTCACCGGACTGAGCCAGGAGGCTTCCTGGACCTGACCTGAGCCCTGTGCCGATTCCATGGCCTCATGTTATCACCCTCAGCACAGAAACCAGGACTCTCCCGAGCAGGACGGTGCCGGGGACCGTCTGAGGGGGCGGAGGCTGCCCTGGGTGCCTGGGAGCCTGCGTCCTCCTCCGCAGTTCTCACATGGACTTTCAGCTCTCCAGGTATTCTTTCTGCAGGTGAAACTCCCCGGTTCCATGGCCACTTCCCACACTCCGTGAGGATCACACTTCCCCAGAGCCCAGTGGTCTCCTCAGGGTCACTGCCCTGGCTTCCCCTGGCATTTCCCTGAGCCAAGCTGAGCTTATCTGGGGCTCTACCTCCGGACTTGGGCCCAGACCCCCAGGTGATTGACAGTCTGACAGCCCTGGCTCACAGCCCCCACCTCCCTCACTGCTCCATCTCTTCCTTGCTCTTAAGCAGTAGGCGCTCCGTCTGTGCCTGATTTATTGTAGGGCACGACATTTACAGGAAAGTGCTCAAGGTCGCCCTTGTCCCTGACGCCGGATGACAGCTGCCGTCTCCCGGGTGCACCTTGGGGGATAGTTCCCAACACGTAGCTGTGGGGTCTTGGCCAACGCCCACATGTTCAACTCCTCCCTCTTCACTGACAATTTATCTTGAAAAGAGTTCTTGTCACCGTGGAGCTGACCTCCAGGACACTGTGGAGGTCACAGAGCGGATCTAAGGCCCCTTCCAGCCCCAGGTCCCAGCACGGCACCTGGCACAGAAACCCCATTCTCATAAAAATGAATGAACCGATGGGAGGATGGAACGGGAAAAGCACCCGAGCGTCAGACTTACGTTACCTGAAGAGACACCTGCACTCTGTGTGCCTTGCCCGGCTCAGGATGCCCCAGGTCATCTCACTTCCTCTCACCAAGCCCTGCTGAGGTAGGACTTACAGAGCCTCAGGTGGCCAGAGCTTGCCGGGCACCAACGGATTGCTTGAACTTCAGTGGGTTTCAGATTCCACAGGAGGAAACAACGTATTAAATAAAAGCACAGTTCAAGCGTGGTTCCAGGAGGAGTGGATGCTGGAGGGGTGGGGGCCACCTGAGTTCTGGCCACGAGGGAGGCTGCAGGTGGAGACGTAGAAGAGGCAGAGGGTCACGAGAGGCAGCGGGCAGCTGTGGGTGGGAGAAGAGCCCGAGGAAAGGCCCTGGCCCCGCGAGGCCAGAGCAGGTGCAGGTGGAACAGAGGTGGCCTGAGCCACAGTGCAGAGCGCCCCGCTGTGATGGCTCCTCAGTGCGCCTGCACTCCAGGGCCGCGCCAGGGATCTTGGGTGACATGGTTTCACCAGCTCTCGAGGACCTTGTGAGCGTGCTGCCATTTGCCTTATTTTATAAGGAAAGTGACTGAAGGTCAGGAGGTGAAGCCGTGGGTCCTGAGTCCCGGCCGGCGAAGGAAATGGGAGCAGAAGGTACAGGATTTCTTGGGGCACACAGGCACCCTGCCCCGGTCACAACAGTGTTCCTGCTGAGGACGGCCACGTGGCAGGTAATGGTAAGAGCCGGCAGCAGGCGCTCTCTGGGCCCAATGCTTTCCAGACGGAGCTGCTGCTGCTGCGGGTCCAGGTGCAGGTGAGCCCAGGCTCAGAAGCCAGCAGCCCCCGCCATGCCGCCCAGAGCCAGAGCCACCTCCCTTCTCCTGCCCAGCCATGGTGCCGTGGTCCTTCAGCCCAAGAGTTTCCACTGCACATATTTAAATATTGACTGGAACAGAAAACAAAATATGTCCCACAGTTGTAAGAAAGTGCATTCCGTGCACAGAATGTGAGGGAGGAAAGGGCCTGGGAGACAGAGCCTCCCGAGGCCTCTTGGCAGGGACCCGAGGAGAGTCTGTGCCAGATCTGTGTGCTCCGTCACAGGCATCAGGGTTTCCCAGGAAGCCAGGTTTGGACCCGGGCAGAGTCTGATGAGCCAGGGCAGAAGACCCTGAGTACCTCCTCCTTGGCCTGAGCATGGCGTCACCTACCACAGGTGCAGAGGCGCGAGCCTGCCCCTCCAGCACACAGTCATCGGGAAGAACTGCAGCCATCACCCTGTCCTGGTGTAAGTCCAGTCACCGCCCTGGGGCAGCCGGCCACACTCCAGCTGTGCCCTGGACTCTGGGCCTTCGGAACGGAATCCCTTTCCAAGCCACCACAAAGCTGGTGTCATCCACCACCGGTCTTCAGAGGATTGTTGGGGAAAATATAAAACACATTGTGGGTGGCTATAAAAGTTCAGGCCCACCAGGTACCGTGGGGCACGCCTGTAATCCCAGCAACTTGGGAGGCTGAGGCAGGAGGATCAGGAGTTCAAAACCAGCCTCAGCAACTTAGCGAGACCCTAGCAACTCAACAAGGCCCTGGTTCAAAATGAAAAATAAAAAGGGTTGGGGGTGGGGCTCAGCGTTAAGTACCCTTAGGTTCAATCCCAGTACGAAAAAAATACAATAAAAATAAAAGTTCAAGCCTGTTGCCCTGGAGGCCTGGGCCCGATTCTGTCCCCCGGAGGCATCCTGCCTGGGGGAGCTGTCCTTGGTGCTGAGCAGGGCTTCCCGGAGCTGGGCTCTGGCCCTGGGGCTGGAACCCACTGCAGTCGGGGACAGGAGCCTCACCCGCTGGCTGCCAGCAGGACTTGGTATTTAAGGGTGCTGCCACCAGCCAGGGCTGAGTGCAGGTGGCTGGCCCCCCCTCTGAGCCCACGTCTGTGCCTGCCTGCAGCGCTTCCTCTCCAGGTGCCTCCCTCTTGGTCCTGCCTCCGGCCCTCCCTCTCCTTCCCACCTCGGCTCCCTGAGAACCCCATGTCAGCCCCCCTGGCTGGCGACTTCGTATGGAAGGTCTGTGTTAAACCCACGAGTGCACCCAGGGTCTCGCTGGCATTGTGAAGCCCAGAGACCATCCCACCTGGAACCTGCTGATCTGTAGCTACTCGCCCATGGCTGAGCCAGGTTGGAGGCAGCCGGGGTGAGAAAACGCCTGTCACCACAGCAGCTCTGCCGTGAGCTCCATGATTTCCTTGCTGTAGGAGACGGAGCAGCTTAGTGAGGTCACTGGGACCTGGATTCAACAGTAAACAGAAGCGAGTTGGGATCCTCTTATCCTAAACCGAATCCAGGACTTCTCATGAGGAAGCAGGCTCCTGGTGGGCAGAAGCTGCAGAGTGTGTGACTCTGCTCCGTCCCACACACTTTCTAAGCAAAGCTTTGTGCAGAGAAAGCAGAGCAGCAGGAGCAGTGGACTCTTGGCCACGGAAGGACTGGGCTCTGGCTTCCAGGGTGCAGAGCTGTGAAGCAGCATCCCGAGCCACGGCCCTCCCTGCCCCAGCCCCCTGGGCACATCCCACCGTGGAGTAGCTGTGCCCTTCTCAGAGCCAGCAATTCTCTGCAACAGCCGAGCCACCCGACCAGCGCTCCGGGGAGTGGAAAGTGGTAGTTAAAGCAAAGCCTTGTTAGACAGCCGTGAGCAGTAGGGTTTCCTCCCCACTGACTGGCTAGGCATGTGATATTCAGGAGGTCAGTCGACTGGCCTGTGCTGCGTGCAAGTGTGTGTGTGTGTGTGTGTGTGTGTGTGTGTGTGTATAGAGAGAGAGAGGAGGACA